GCAAGGACAGCCTGGTCTATGTAGCGAGTTCCAGGCTAGCTGAGGTTCTTGATTGTACAAGAAGAGACAAAGGAGAAGTTTAGCTGAGCACCAGCATTCATCTCTGCTTTAAAAATTATTTATTTTTATTTTATGTATATTTGCCTACATACACACTATATGTGTGCAATGCCTGCAGAGGTCAGAAGGTGGCACAGGATCCTCTGAGACTGGAGTTATAGATGGTTGTTAGCTGCCATTTGGGTGCTGGGAACTGAACCTGAGTCTGAAAAAAAAAAAGGTGTGTCCATGTGTGTCCAGGCATGTGCATGTCATGGCATGCATGTGGAGATCAGAAAACTTTTGGGTGTTGGTTGTTCTGTTTAGTCTTTTGTCACTTTGACACAAACTAAAGTCACCTGGGAAGCAGGACCCTCAATTGAAGAATTTCCTCCATCAGACTGGCATGTCTGTGAGGCATTTTCTTAATTGTTAATTGATGCAGGAGGGCACAGCCCATTGTGGGCAGTGCTATCCCTGGGTTGGTGGGCATATACTGAATAAGAAAGGTAGCTGAGCAAGTCAGGGGAAGCAAGCCAAAAAGCAGTGTTCCTCCGTGGTCTCTACTTCAGCTCCTGCCTCCCAGTTCCTGCCTTGAGTTTCTGCCTGACTCCCCTAAAAGATGACCTCTGATGTGGAAGTGTAAGCCAAATAAACCCTCTACTCCCTAAGTTGTTTTTGGTCAGAGTGTTTCATCACAGCAATAGAAAGTAACTAGGACATTGGTTCTCCTTCCACCTTATGGGTTCCAGTGATTGAACTCAGGTCATCAGGCTTCTGTGGCAGGTGATTTTATCCAATAAACTACTTGAAAGTTCAACTTTTGTTGTTAAAACCCTGTCTCTAATTATGAGCCCTTTCATAAAACCTTCCTTATACTAATTTGTATGTGACACCTCTATCATCTTGGGACCTCAACTGATGAAAAGCTATGCATGTCATTGTTAGGAACCTCTGGAGATTTGTCTCCATCTGAAATAGCCATCCCCATCATCCTTCTCCAATGTACACATTTCCCTCCCTTTACTGGAGCATTAATTTTCTGAGAGTCTGGGGTCTTGTGGATCTCTGATTTGACCTCTAATTTTGTTGAGCCCCTAAATTCTGTTATGTAGTTCTTTAAAACACTATGAAGACATTGCCTTCAGTATTTTTCAGTTGGTATTTTTTTTTTCTTTTTCAATTTTTCTTTTTTATTTTTTAATTATTTATTTAATAACCATATAATTAGAAGAAGCATTTCTGAGAGTCTGGGGTCTTGTGGATCTCTGATTTGACCTCTAATTTTGTTGAGCCCCTAAATTCTGTTATGTAGTTCTTTAAAACACTATGAAGACATTGCCTTCAGTATTTTTCAGTTGGTATTTTTTTTTTCTTTTTCAATTTTTCTTTTTTATTTTTTAATTATTTATTTAATAACCATATAATTAGAAGAAGCATTTTGTTACAACAGCAAACAGCATTTCAATAACAATTTCCAGAGCTAAGATACATCTCTTTCAAAATTGGCTGTAAATTTTTAGGTTTACAGTTGAATTAATACAGTTATAAAATTTTTCTCAGTATAAACCCTATAAGACATAAAATTGAGGTTTTAATCTTTAAAAAAATTTCTATTTCATTATTAAAATACACAGTTTCATACAGAAAAATTCATTTTTAATGCAATTAACACTTAGATGTTTGCACATGCATTTCTAATCTCTATATATCTGATTATTACTAGTCACAGTCGGTTACTTTCTGAGCTTCTTGGCATCTAAATGT